TTACCAGTTTTATTACATTTTTCTGGGCAACATAGTTAAAGATGACCTTTTCCAACTTGTTTTCCTCCAGCAAAAAGATTAGGGAATTCAAGGTCCTTGAGTATCCCAACTGAGAGACAAGTCTAAGGAACACAGAAGTTTAATCTAAATGATCTGTAGACTGCTGCCAACTAAAGTTCTTTCATTTAAGTCAGATTGTCAGTCAAGTTGTTGGATTATTTTTGTAATCCACACAAAAAACTAATTTGAAGCATTTTCTATTTGCAATGTGTTCTAGATTTAGAAGGGGAGAAATATGCAAGATGCATAATAGGAATGTTTTAGACAAGTTGTAACTTGTTCTATAGTATAGATCAGGGGTGTCAAACTGCCGGCCCACAGGTCGAATGCGTCAAGTGGAAGCTGCGCCCACCCCATTGCCGGCAATGGCAAAACAGTCCCTATACGTCACGCGACATCGCAAGTTTGACACTTTTGGTACAGATGGTCAAAATATTGGTTTCTGAAACCAATTGACAATATAGCACTTCAATTATAGGGCAACAGTCCTTACCTTTTAGATTGTGCCTCTTTAGAAAACATAGTTTGGATTAAATAAAAGGAAGCAGGGACTAAGAATCTGGATTTCATTAAATTCCTTCTCCTATTTTACCTCTTAATTCCAATACATAATTTCCTTCATAAAAACAAAAATGTGACAGGGAGAAAGTAACTTAGGTAATTTAAAATGGGGAAATATAGGCATTCTAAATCACTCTACAGATAAAGCAAAGATTCATGTAAGACAAATTCTCAGAGGTGGAAGTATATCTTATTATTTATTTAATAATTGCACCAACTGATATCATGTCACAGTATTTCTTGCAACTCTATGATTTATATAAACATAAAAAACCAAGAAGTGCAAAACTACAAATAATTAGGATTAAAGTACAGAAATTTCCTTAAGGGTCATAAATGAATCAATGTGCAATTTGAACAAGAATGTTCCAAGAAATCATTTATAATCAGACAACGAATGTTCTAAAATTAGACCAACTTCTAACTGCTCTGCCAACTGCACATTTTAAAAGGGGTCAAGTAGCACAATATCGTGAGCTTGTGATTTTCTATTATTGCTATTTATAAAATTAGCATGATACTAATTATTCAGATTTGAATGTAAAGATTTAAGGGATTTGATGCTCACTGTTTCCTAACCTCTGACCATCTACAGAACAAGTTACAACTTGTCTAAAACATTCCTAGTGTGGGTCTTGCATATTTCCCCCCTTCTAAATCTAGGACACATTGCAAGCCAGCTGTGCTAGTCATTGACTCATGAATCAGAACCAGCAACTTGGAAATACTATTATATGGCAAGGGAAGTAAGTGCCTAGTGAGAAAACACATCAGAGACTCCACAGGCACAAACTTGTTCTGTCATGTACACTCTGAACTCTATATTAGTCTGAATCACCAGTAGAATGCAAAATTAAATTGAATATATGTGATTTTACAGTTTCTGTTAAGCATGCCACAAACCCTTTTGAAATTTTAAATCATTCTCTTTTACTCTCAATATATTCACTTAACGTGCTCTCTGTTTAAGGCCTCATCCCATTCAGTTATTTTTTAAAAGTTGAAAAATATGGCAAGAAATTCAGATTGCCACATGCAAATATGACAGTGTTTGGGATGCAGCTTTATGGCCATCATTGTTATTCTATAGTTAAAATTTAGTTTTAACCTTCCTGAAACTTGCTGAAATTTACCATGAAATCTGTTTTCTTCTTCCATCAATGCTCAATTCAACAACTCCTGCAGAATTCAACTTCATTTTAAAGTGATAAATCTTGCTCCCTACAGGCACCACAACTAGGTATCTTACCAAATCCAATCAGTTACCCTCTGGTTCTATAACTGTAGCATACATTTATGAAAAGTGAGAGTGATACAGTTATAAATGTATTTGACATTTGATGACCTCATCTGCTTTTTCTTTCACCAGCAGTCTGACTACAAAAGTCAGAACATGAACTGTAATGACAAATTACAAAGTTACATATAAAAATTGTTATTATATAAAACTTTGCCAATACAGCAATAAAAAATCAACTAGCTGGATACATGCAGACATATTGATTTTTCATTGATAAATATATTTTTTTTCCTGGCTAATTTCTTCTTTAAACAGAGATGGAAGCTGAAAAGTGTGCTTAATAGTCATTATACTAAGCAGCGAAGGAGTTTGAGATCTAATTATTTACTGCAACTCACATTTTTGCAATAGGAACGTAAGTAGAAAATGAATCTCTTATAACTGCCAATAGCTTACAAACATAAAACCTGCAATTGGCCTTAGCTTTATAATTTAGTTCCTTCTCAAATGCAATTGAAGTTGAGATTTCAGAGCCTTTTGTAAGGGAAGACAGTCTTATTGCAGTTGAAGTCAGGAGTTGAAATCAGAAACTATGGGCAAATATTTAATCAATGGATAACTAAATTATTTTGCTTACTAGTTCAGTAACTCTAAAATATTTCACTTAGTATTTCACTACTGAAAAAAAATCAATCTTGAGGATAAGAGAGAAAATTGTGTAACTTTTGTGGGTGCCCTGCCTGCTGCTGAGAAAAGACGCTGCAGCCATAAGGCAAGAAAAATAGTGGAAATGAATGAGTTGATGGTAGGTTTCTGGAATGGACTAGGAGTCACGTTTACTAAGACAAAATAATTTAGACAGCATATCATATACTACTGGTAATAATCACCCAAATAATTAAGTTGATAGAGAAGTGGATCAGCACCCTCTCCCCATCCCAAATATGTTTCTTCTTGCAAGAGAGAGCACTTCCCAGACTTGCTGCCTATCTTCTATTTGCAGTCTGGACCATTGTACTTCTCTGAATAGTAAGTGATAGCAATTTACATAGCCAGAAGGAAAAAAAAAACCCAGTCCTGCCGTGATTGTGGGAAATCTTATATACATGGTTTGCTAAGAATCTGAAATGTTTCATATGATTACTGTACAGTAGGATGTCAGTGAGATCAATTTATAGCTTATAATAGTTCTAGATGGAGCTATAATTGAATTAACGTTAAAAAGAAACTTTTGTAGATGAAATACATACAAAAACTTGGTTTAAATCCAACAGGTTTTCCACAAGAAGTGTGTTTTGATTCCCAAAGTAGAAACTATAATTATAACAGAATGGTTCAGAGCAGAGCTTTGGGGTTTGAGATATGCCCAGGCCTGAAAGACTTATGTATGTATATGTGTGTGTGTGTAAATGTACACCCCACACACACACAAATGCATAAAGCAGTTATGGCAAATTTTACACACACAAACAGACACAAATGTTTCTGAAAATTCTAAAGCAAGAGGATAATAGCTAAATATGGGATTCCAGTTAGTGAAGGGGCAACACAACTTTCTAAGTTTTAAAGGCTTTGAGAGATGCAATTTATTGTCAACATTTGCTACAGCACACTACCATCAAGAAAGTCATTCCTTATAGTTAATAATTGCTCAGCAAGATTGGCAACTAACACAAAAAATCTAAAAGAGAGAAATTTAAGATGCTATTAATATTTGGAAGTCTTCCTGGTTAGGAATTTAGATAATAACCCTAGATTTTATATAAAGGAAATTAAATAAAATCATAAAAAAGGATTTAGCCCTGTTGACAGGGTTTTATTTTCTGCACTGAATTTCAAAATTGGTACTGGAAGATGTAAAGACTCATAATATAAGGAAACTATTGAAATGAGGCTATAATCCTAAATACACTGTAAAATGCTTAAAATTGCACTGTTCTTATAATCTGGAAACTAAATCTAGAGTTCTGTTAGGAAATTTTATGGTCAAATTTATTCATAAACTTCAATTTATTCATAAAATGATATGAAGTAGCCAAGAATGAGTCTTCACTATTTTTCAGTTTCCTTCAGTTATTTTCAAACAATTTTTAAAGGAGAATAGGGCAGAATATCTACATGCCTTTTAGTTGTGATACTAATATCTTCTGAATGCTATTTGCTATTAATAGAATTTATAAAATTATTTACTTATATTTTGGCAGCATGTGCTTCTTTTAACATGCACTCCATAAAACAGGTGAAATTTAATTATGTGGTTAAGGGAGAAAAATTCATCTAGAAAAATGACCTATTTTATTGTGACTCATATTAATCACGTACTTCCCTTTGCTCTGCTCCAGGGCTGAGTCAAGATTTGCCAGTTTGTTGCATCTCAATCTACAGGACTGCCGTACTGATACTAAAACTAATTTGTCAACTGAGGTTTTTTAAAAAATTAATAGCAAAGAGCAAAACAGACAAGTGCTAAAAATATTTAAACTGGGAACTTTCATCTTGCTCTTTCAGAAATCCGTCTATACTACTTTTTGAAAATATTAAAAATGGAGGGCCTTACTTTTTATTTGTATATTTAAAATACATACATATATGCATACATATATACATATGGCCACCCATCTGAGAAGCTAACAATTAAAAAAATGAATTTAAGAGAATTAAAGAATTAGAGAAAACTCAACCAATAATTAAAAACATGTACTAAAACACACACATATATATGTACATATGTGCGTTTCCAATTTATATAAATATATGTAGAATATTCATTCCTATATTTGGGGGATCATCTTATAAACTAGTAGTTAAAAAGTCCCGATATGAATAATGGTAGTTAACTGCTGTAAAAGTGTTACTAAAAAGAACCTTAAGTAACCCCGAAATAAAACTTCTGAGTAATTCTAAACAGAATTGTTAAGCGAATAAAAAGAAAAAGGGAAAAGAATCAGTGTTGCAAATCAAGAAATGTAGATCATATATTTAGCGATCTATCGCTTTCTTCCTAGTTCTTTTCTTCCCCTTTTCTGTTCTCCAAGAAGATTGAGAAAGTTTTCAAGCCTGTGGAGGGGGGAGGGAGGAAAGAGTGACGAGCTGCATGCGCCCAATTCACGTCGAAGGCGCATGCGCTTTCCATTGCACGCGTGCCTATCCCGTCATTCTCAGCGGGGAGCAGTAGAGTGGGACTTCTGGGAGTATTCTAGAGCGGCAGGAGCAGGCCGAGGCCGATGATGTCGGAAAAGAAGCAGCCCGTAGATCTGGGGCTTTTGGAAGAAGACGACGAGTTCGAGGAGTTTCCTGCCGAAGGTAGATTAGAAAATGGGGAGGCGGAGAGGGGAACCAACGCGGGTTTCTCGCAGCGGCTCGTCTGGGTCCGCGCCTCGTTGGTCTGCGCCTCGGGATGCGGAGAGGCCTGAAAGACTCCCAATCCAAACTACTTGCCTTCCAGAGATGGAAGTATAGTTCCTATCATCCCCAGCCGACACATCTGGACGGCATGCATAGTTCCAGATCGCGGGACCCTTTATCCAAAGCAGGCCTCCATTCTACGTGTCCTGCCTCTTTCCCCGTGAGGAGCCCCCCCCCTCCCCTCTTCCACGCGGTATCTTTCAGAGGCCAACGTCTTCTTCGGGCGTTGTAGACGGCGGTCCGGCTTTCTCTTTGTCGGAAAAGAAGCCAGGCCTTCTGTGGGGAGAAAGAAGGCCGCGCGTTCTTCCTGACAGGGTCCTCGTAACTTTTTAAGTTCTTTAAATGTGAGAATTTTAGCCGTAGTCCTGGACGACATGGCTGGGGACTCTGCGAATGATAGTTCCCTGCACCTGTAAAATTGATTTTTCGGAAGTACATGTGTATGCTTGGCTTTCTTTAGGTTGCTAAAAAAAAAAAATAGATGTGTATTCATTTGCAGAAACTGGGTTTAAAAGCTATTAGGGAAGAAGCCTCGTACTATTTATTGGATAGAGTGCAGTTGTTTTGAGCAAGCCTTATGCTCCACACCAAATGATGTCCTGATTGACCTAAATGATGAAATGTAAGGAGCAATGGGTAAGGATGGGTTATGCTTGTAACACTTGTATCAAAACTTTTAGTTGAATAGTAAACAGTTAATGAATTTAGGATTCACACACATTTGCTGTAAATTAATGTAACATAATCGTGACACAAGATTGTATAAGTAATTGGCAATGGCTAAAGAATAACTGTCTGCTGGGCAAAAGAGTCCTTAGCTTCTCTAAGCAAATGCAAATATTTAAATTAGATTTTTTTGTATCATTTAAGTAAGCATAAATTGATCTGATTTTACAATGTAGAAATTTCTTTCCCTAATGCTATGAATTTATTTATAATTAATTACAGGGGTGTTTTTGGATTAAAATTCACTTCCCATGTTTTAATTTAAAATTGTTCTATTTTGTGCACCTCATATATTATGGATTTGATTGTGTTCATTGGATGTAAGATATTTATTGTTTTATGTATAAACTGAGGTTTGTTATCTATCTAAAGACTAATAGTAAGAAGGCCTTCAGTTTATTAGAAGTGGTAAACTTCAGATGCAATAATTTTAATGCAAATTAAATCAATTAGCAAGCTATGATTTAGTTTTCTTGCAGTGAAAATATATATTAATATATAATCAAAACACATTCTGAAATGTTTTAATAAAGTTTCTCATATTTTAGGAATTAATTTGTTATTCAATTTTGTATTCAGCAATCTGAAATTGATTTGCTCTGCTTTTATTGGTATTCTATTATGCTACAATAGTACTTCCTTAACATAAGGAACTTATTTTCAAAATCTTACTTTAATTTTTTTAAATACTACACAAGTGTAAATAATTTCATTTTAGAATAATAGATAGCTAAACAACTATGTTTATAATTAATTTCAGACTACTGGTATATTAAATTCAGCACATAAAAATGCTGCTGAAGCTGTAGTTTCAAATCTCAATGGTGTTTTATGATTTTTCTATTTAATTTGGTCCTGGGGAAATTATATAACTGGATATCTCTCCCTCCCTCCCTCACAAACACACACACTGTGTATCAGGGCACATTGTGCATGAATATCTATAGAGATTCTTAATCATCAAGGTCATGGTTATCCCAAAGATGCTTTTCCAAAGGCAACTGGACTTCCTTGTTTTTTTCTTTGAAAACGTTTTGCTTCTTCATGACTGAAGAAGCTTCTTGGATGAGAAGCAAAATGTTTTAAAAAAACAAACAAGGAAGGCCAGTTGCCTTTTGGAAAAGTATGTTTGGGATGTGCTGCGTAAATAAGAGTCTCACTATCTTATTTTTGAAATGATGAATATTCTATTCATTTTAAACCAATTTAGTCCAATTTGTTGTGAAGCAGATTTAATAGTAATTAAAAATCTGAGATGACAATATTTCTGGACAAATCATATTCAAAATGCTGCAAGTTATATAAAACATACTGATTATGCCCCTGGTCTTATGTTTTGAGAAAGCCATCCTCACTGTGCATTATTGTACTAAAATGTTGTTTGAAAAATTCTACCGTCTTGGAAAATACTTGTTGGTTTTTTTCATCTGTAAAATTAGTGTGTTATGTGGTGTACAATGTACAGTGATAAGTATGTGTCACCACAAGAATGTATGTCTTGAAGGCACCTTTTTTTATAAATAGAAGATTTTCAATAAAATATATTTTTTCTAAAGATATGAATTAATAAACTGCGTTCAAATTCACATTAAATAGGTGATACACCCTGAGACAAATATTTCAGCTACAGTTGTATGCTATATTTCTGTCTTCCAACAAAAAGTGAATAAAGCATTTTGTTTTCATTATATTCATTAGCATGTTATTAATTTCCAAGAATATTTTCAGTAGTCCAGTTAAGCTAAAGCTAGAATTGTAGAACTTAATCAAATAAACACCTGTTAGACTTGACCAAGTGCTAACTTTAAAGAACCAAAACCTCAGTTTATTAAAATATAATCAAATTACCGCCAAGATTTTTTTACTAAATTGAGGTTTTTAAAGTGACAGAAGAAGATTATTAAATACTATACTGGACAGTAATATTAACTCTGTTCAGCTTCTTTGATGTAAATTAAACTTTTATACTGGCTAGCCGTTGATGCTGCTACTACTTAGAATGCATTTCTTGATCCAGGAAAAAAATCTTATCACTTACTGGGATGTACATTTGGGATTCATTATTAAATTATGATTATATATAATTATAACTGTTTTTTATTTAGACATGACATTATTAAAACAAAGTGTTAATGCTCGAATCAAATTGTAATGTAATGGATTTTATGAATTTATCAAAATGACAGTAACTGATAATGATAATCAATATTGGGTCTCTTTAGGATCTTTTACAGTGTTCCTGATTGCTCTACTTAAAGAGTAGAGGAAATTCTCTTTTGAATATCTTTTCTGAAGCTGTCCGATCCTGGTTTATAGGATTAAGCATTTCATATAAATATGAAAAAAATGTCTTTTTGAACCAAGCCCTTAATTTCAGTTAAGATTAAGTAATGTTTTCTTTAAACCACGTACATCAAATACAATTTGAAATTAATCTCTAGTTCTGGTTTTTGATAAATTTTCTTAAATACGAAATCTGGTTAACCAGCACTAAGAATCTTAGCCGTGGTAAAGTTAACAGAAGAGTAACACTGCAAAGAGAATGTCTGTATAGTCTGAGACTTCCTTCTTAATCTAAAAACCAGAAATTATGTATGAGTACATCTGATTTTTAGTAAATAAAACGGCTATGTCTTAAACTGTTCTTAGGTTCTGTCTTTTCAAAACTACCTTTGAATAAAATTATAATAATTTCCTCTGTAAATCTGGTGAATTGACTGAAGAACTATATATTGTTTTGCTTCAAATAACACTATCATTAGGAAAAAGACTACCTTCTTTATGCTACATTAGAATAGTAAAGATAAGAAACATTTGAATAGACTATTTTGATTTTAGTAACCAGTAGTGAGTTACTACCAAATCTGATTGTGCTAGACTTATCAGTCTTTGTCATTGTGAATGTGCATCTCATATTTATATATTTATGTTGACAGTATGAAAGCCAGCTAGAAGAAAAGCATACTGTTTAAGAGTCCGAGTCCCACTTGTTTTGCAAAGATGATAAGGTCTGATATGCAACTTACTTGCATCAGGCATTAAATTCCCATCTATTATATTCCGACTGATATTGGAGCAATATCAGTCGGATATTGTTCCTTGCCATCTGCCAAAACTCTAGACCCTTAGTTTCTCCTAATGTGTACCACTGCTAATTTTAAATTAGGCGCTCATAAGTGATCTTTGTTCAGGCATTATCTGGTTTGTTATTCTTTTATGACTTTATTTTATTTCCTTGCCCCATCTTGTTAAATGGGTTGTTCAGTTCTCACTCAACTTGTTCATTTATTACAGTTTACAAATTGGGAATATCTGTGGCCGTAAATTATTGGCCAGGTCTTTAGACAATCACTCAGTGGTGCATTTGTAGAATTTGACTATAGTCATTTTTTTTTTTTTTTACAAACCATGATTTTTGGCTCTGGTCCAGATCTACTAAAATATCCCTGTTCATGATGGAACTTGATAGTCTTAGATAACATTGCTAGAAAAAAAAAAACAGATGCATCAAGAACCACTGTTTTAACCAATTTATTATTTCAATTTCAATTTAGTCATATACCAAAATTAACATTATACCTAAAAATGTTATTCATGAAATTAAAGCCTGTTGGAAATTGAAAAAGAATGAAATATTTTGATTTATAAATTATTGAGATATATCCAAAGTTGTCTAAACTATAAATTATGTATTAAAACATTGTTCATTGCTTTGATTTAGACTGGGCTGGGTTAGATGAAGATGAAGATGCACATGTGTGGGAAGATAATTGGGATGATGATAATGTGGAAGATGATTTCTCTAACCAGTTAAGGTAAATTGAAAACATTCAGTTTATATCTGTAATGAAAACATATACAGGTTACCTCTAAAACAAGAATTATATCTCAAAGCATTAAAAATACATTTAGCTTCTGCTTTATTTTAGCACATGATAATGAAACTATATATTATTAATAAAACATTGATTTTGTTTTAAAGATGTAATTTTTAACCATTGGTGTTGTGTTATAAAATAAATATTATTCCTCTTTTTCTTTTCTAACACTATAAGAAATTTCTGTTGCAGATAAAATACATTTCCTAAAGTATAATTTTAATATTGTGATTAATGAATGCTAACTTCATAAAATGTAGTTTGAAAATGCTTCTGTTTAAGACATTTTATTTGGCTCTGATGATATGGTAAGCTACGATTAATAAATAATTAATTTGCCAGCTTAAGATAGTAAAGTAATATATATATATATATATATATATATATATATACACACACACACACACACACATACATACATACACACACACACACAATTTAAATTGTGCTTTAGTTTGGATGAATACAACTATGTGGAATTTTGGTTTCATATGAAATCAATTTGGCTATGACTATCAGTTCATAAGAAGTAGGATAGAGCCTATCTAGTTCTAGTTCTATTCAACACCTTGCTTCTCATTAACCAATCAGATAAGTTCCAAAAAGATGGAGATGTAGTTTTCTCCTGCTATTGTTCCCTTGCAGCTGGTTCTTGGAGGCATGTTGCCCCCAACCTGGATATTATACTGAAGTAAAATTGGCATTCAAATTTATATCTGCTCGGAGAACAAGCAGATATTTTACACTTATAAAACTGAGTAACTGTCATAGGACTGAGAAATATTTAATTGATTTAAACCAATGTATAAACCTAACCTGATTTCAGGTCATTTTTTATAATTAAAAAAATCAGGTAGCTATTTTTCATAATTTAATGCTGTAAATGTCTTATTTTTTCAGAGCGGAACTGGAAAAGCATTGCTACAAGATGGAAACTACATAGCTTCTAATGGTGTTTCAATTTGTGTAATATATGAAATAGAAGATGGATTGACGGCAGCCTGTTCCTATCCTATTTTTTTTCTGTTTTCTATAAATAAACGTTGAAACTATGTTATATATTTTAGTATTGTTATCGCTTGCTTTTGAATAACTGACAGGTTCAAAGATAATGCATCTGGCTATTTTAAGCATGGTTTTCTTACAATGTTGATTTCTTAATGTTATCTATTAATAGTTAAATAAAGAAAATTTTAAAAATGTTCAACTTTCATGAACTGAAAAGAACATATGGTATATAATACATTTTCAGAGCAAACTATTACTTTAGAAGCAATCTACAGAAGGCAAGGTTGAAGTGGATGCTTCTTAATCCCATATCATGCTTTAGCTATACCTATACTGCTGAAAGTAATTGTATTTTCCATGTTTATTTTATCCTTGTAGTGCAGTATAATTGATTTGGAATTAATATTTTGATTTATAACCATTTTTAAGCTACAAAACAAAGCCATTTCTTTTAGTGGAGATGAACTCCTGTAAAAACAATGTTGATGCTGAATGAATATATGAAATTGCTAGTTTTTATGATTGAGATGAGACAAAAATTTCTTATTTTATCGTAATGGTGTGGGACTGCAACAAGCAAAGAGGCATGAATAACCTAGTAATAATAACCAAAGATACTTTCTTTAACCAAAGGTACTTTCTTTAACCTAGTTCAGCTAAATATTTTAGAAGAAGAAATATTTTGACACTACTATGAATAAATTGTTTTCTAGAACTAAATCTTTTAAGTTGCTTTATACTCTTACGCTGCTGGGAAAGAAAACAAATGATCACTTTAATAGGTTAGCCATGGATTTATTACTTAAACTCATGATTCATTTTATAAATATATAGCAAAAGGTGCCATCATCCCAGTTTTGAGAACCTATAAATGTTTTAAAACTTTTTGATACTCTTCCCTACATGCAATCTCATATTACAAATTAAAAAGTAAAGTTATAAACATCAAAACAAAATAGATTTAAATGCTAAGATGGCTCATTACAGTTTCATCGAGACAGTAATCATATAGAACAATGTAGGGAGTTGAAGTCTACACTTCTTAAAGTTGTCAAGGTGAAGAAACACTAAAAGATACATAGGAAGAGTGGATTGGTATATCCTCCATGAATGGAAGGAAAGATACTTCTGGTATCAGAATCAAGGTAGATAACTTTAAACAATCTTTCCAGCTTATAATCATACCCAGCTGTCTACGGACTCATTGTTCACTTGTCCCAGTTTAAAAACTAGAAAAGAGCAGTATGTCAAAAATATATAAAATACACTTGATCTGTAGGTGAACTAGGAACATGTATGACTCGACAAAGAGTCCTTGTTTGTGTCCTTGAATTAAAAGTCTATGAAATCTTAAAATACTTTCATTTAAAAGGATATTCCACTTTAGTGGAAACATATATAACTTGTTTCAAAGGGAATTTTACTTTAGACATGCATAACTTTTCTTTGTGATATATGGCTTGTATTCATTTTTCTCCCTCAAATGTATTCAAAATTGGCTATTGCAAAATACAAAGAACATTCAATATGAAGAATGGTAGAATCATTAAAGACTTAAATTTTAGGCCCTATCTGTATATATTGTTACTACAGTTTTTTTCTTTATAATTTTAAATAACTTAAAATTATTAGCTTTGGTAACATGTTATATACTAAGCAACTTTAAAATATCACAAATTATAAACATGCATATGTGAAATACCAGCTGTAACAGAATGAGGGCTGGTAATTTAAAAATATATGAAGAAAACTGAAATAATATGTTGGACAACCATCAATTGATTACAGAATACTATATAGGAGAGAAAAATTTAATTTTGTGGAATGGAGGGAAAGTGATTTGCCCAATAAGCTCTGTTCGGGAACCATTCTTTCTGATCTTAATTTTGCAGTTAAGGGCAAATGCCACAAGACTCAAACTATGTACGATAGAAAATATTACAAACTGTTGTGAATTGCTTTACTTGTACTTGGTGTAAGTACAAATCCATAATCTGCAAACTGCAAATAAATCAGCTTATATTGATAAGCTCTGGAATAAGTGATCAAATAAATAGAAGCATTGAAACTGTTATTACAATGAAAAGCAAATATTCAATTCCTGAAAAAAGGAGATTAATTTCTTGTTAGTGATTTATGTAGGAGGTAATGTAAACTAAGTTACTAGAGTTACTTTTTAGAATTAAATGGGTGACATACAAATTTAATAAAAATAATGCCAAATATTAAGCTCATTCTTTACTATGGTCCTACTTGGAATTTTATATGTAGTTCTAGTAAATGTTAAAAGAATGTGAGAGCCCAAAACATGGGATACAGTTGAAATGCAGGCCTGGACAAACTTCCAGTTTATAAAGAAAGCACTGTAAGGTATATCCCCTCTAGATCACAGAAAATTGAAGTATTTGATGTACATGTTGCAGTAAAAATCATTCTACACTGTTTTGCACCATAGCTATAAGAATTAAGAGTGACTACCCCCCAGAGTTTCACAGTCTGAGTCCTCAGCTTCTATAAGACAGTAATTCAGTGTCACCTGCTTATCAAAAACCCAGTCTTAAATAATGCTTGTGGTACAACACCTTGGGTCTTTTGAGTGCTATATGCCTGATGCTTGCTTTCTGTAAAATTTATCTTTCAACCTGATAAATTGGCTTGAGATTTACAGTATTGCCAGTTATGTGAAGATATCACGGTAAAAATCCTTTAGTCCAAATATCTTTCACAGGACTTGCAGTCAGAATTCTTTCAGTCTATCACACTTTCTTTGGTTAATCTGGGTCTCAGAGCTGTTATTTTCTGCCATTTGTCAATATATCTAGAAAAGAGAATTTAGTAAATATAATTGAAAACATTTATAATTCCTCCCCCCCCTCTTCCCCATCTGTTTAGTGTTTCATGATTTCCTTAAAAACAATACACAGCAGGTGAACAATATCTGTCTCCTATTATTGATCCTAGAATTACTATTCTCTGTTCCTGAAGGTTCTGACAACTTAAAGACTACAAAACAAACTATGCCTTCAGTCATATCTGTACAAACTAACATCAATTGCACACAGAAGTGTGCAATTAAAGATGTAATGCCAGTTTTCATTCTTGATAGGTTTGCCAATATTTACATTTCTATATAACCAAAACAATCCTATATGAAAACAAAAGAATAAAGTTGCAGAAATTGTAAGCTGCTTCTGCCCCTAAATCAGTCTTTCAAGTAGTGATTCTGTACTACTTAGGCTACTTTACAAAAAGCTTAACTTTCAAGTTGGTTTCTAAAATCAAAGCAAGACTCGTTTCCATTATGAGGAAACTCACAGTTCGCTGTTTAGAATGTGAGCCTGGCCCCAGATATTGTTCTCTTTTCCAAGATGATTGATCAGGGTCTAGTTTGGGTCTTTCTTCAAAATGGAGTTTTGCTGAGCCATTGTCAATTTTTATCATGGCATTTAAATTTAATATCTCTAAAAAGAATCTGGGAGAGCTACTACCATGGATAGTCATTTAACTTGGGAATAAGCATATGACATGGTTATGATTAGATTAACCAGGATATTTATTGGCTGAGGCTGAAGAACATAATGGGACCATTCCTAGTCTACATACAGAAGCTACATGGAATATATATTACAAAAATGTCACTGCACCTGAGGGCAATAAGTAGCTTATAGAATTTTGGATAGGATAACTTCTTTGAGGATAGCCCAGTCCTGTTTAATATCTATTTAACCCTGAATGTCAGACTCCTGGTGGTGCAGTGGTTAGAATGCGGTATTGCAGGCAAACTGCCCACAGCTTGGAGTTTGATCAAGGTTGACTCAGCCTTCCATTGTTCCAATACTGGTAAAATGAGGACCCAAATAGTTGGGCCAATATGCTGACATTATAAACTACCCAGAGAGTGTGTAAAGTGGTATATAAATCTTAAGTGCTATTGCTATTGCAACTTGTCTCACACTATCCCTTTAGCAGTCAACTACCTTAAAAAGAGAGAGGCAGTATAATTCAGCTTTTTAGGCTTCAGCTTTAGAATTTTGTTCAGCCCAAAGTGATTTCCTTACTCACTTTCCTTGTAGAGATTGTGTAAAGATAAAATTCAGGGGAGGAAAGCATATGTGTATAAGCAAAAATTGAAATGTAAAGAAAATGTGAATGGAGTAATGAAATGTTTTGGGATTTATTGCCTATAGGCACTCATACATTATTATTTTTAATTACTTTTCTACCAGGTACACAAGATAGTAAAATTAAATTCACAACTAAATTCCATAAAAATACTAAATGGAATAAAACAGAATAAAACACCATGCTGAAATAACTGATTTTACAGGCTGAAGAAAATTCAAAGGATTAGCAGATGTTGGCTCAAGAAAACATTTAAAACGAGGTATTCACTCTGAAGATAGGATGGAGTCATTGGCAAAGGGTTTATTTTGCATGCAAAACGTTTCAAGTTCATTTTGCAGCATATCCTACAATTCAAAATATGACCTCTCAAAACACTTAATAGGAACCAGCAGCATTCCTGGAATTTGTGGAATCATAAATACCAATTGTGGAACAGCTTTTTTAATATAACACAAATAGCTAGCAATATTTAGATTAAAGCTTTGATGGTAAAATAGGTCAGAACTAATAATAAGAATATATTCTATCTAATTGCTACAACTAAAAGGCATGACCCTGTGTGCATTTGGAAAGTGCCTGACCCTTTTTGACATCCTCCAATACAGGCAGTTCTTGTTTAATAACTATTCTCTTAACAACTGACTGAACTTACATCAGTTCGGCCCAAAAAAGATACAACAAATTTTGAAGTTTTGATGGGTGCACATACATCCTTTGTAGTTACATGACTGCATTTTGCTAAAGGTATGGCTATTTACTTTAAAGATTTGTTTAATCCCATCTTTATTATTTGTATGAATAATTGTAAGTGGTGAACATACCTAATATATTCCTTCTGTCTCCTATTTTCTCCACAATCACCACCCTGTGAGATGAGTTGAGCTCAAAGAAAGTGCCTGGCTTAAAGTAACCAGGGTGGTGTTCATACCTAAGGCAGGACTAGAACATACGTTATCCTGGTTTCCAGATATCTGATTTCAACTTTATTCCCTCTTTAGTTTATTAAAAGCACTGGGCTTGCTATTTTTTCTTTCAGGACTTCAATAAATCACAGAATGATTCTTGGATGAGTCATATCTTGTTTTGTGTTTAAGCCTTTTAGGATGAAAACTTCTGTTATTAGCTTGGGAGATGTGCGAGTCATAGGTGAATGTTCTGCTCTGCCCTGTCCATCAAACTTCTAAAGAAGGAAACTAAAGTTGGAGTCTAAAGGCACATCCCGATCTCACAAGATGTGAAAATTTGTTGTTGTTTGCTTCATCTTATGAAAGGTTGTGTTAACACCAAGACACAATGGGTGGGTTCATATCATATGCTAGCCTGCGATTTAATCTTTGTGAAGATTTATTGAGTACATCAGAGACAAGTCTGGGTTGAACTTCCAAAGGATCAATTTGATCAATTTCTGGATCATCAATATCTCCTGGATTGCTCAGAGGCCTCGGCATTTAGATCAGGATTTCTGTAATTCTAATGCATATAGACTTTTTGCTATGTTCACAGTCTTTCTGTTACTCATTGTAAAGGATAAAAGGACTTCTAATACAGATTTCAGTTTTAAAATGATATAAGAAAACTCTTTGACAACAAA